CCACAGGTGATCATTTGAGGTTCAGCACAGCAAGGGGGGGACTTCTCTCTCTTCCCTGTTTGTTTGGAAGCAAAAATTCCAGGGAAGAGCTGTCTCAGAGAGCCCACAAGAGCTGCGTGTGGTTGTGTTTGTTTTCTCCTGTCGAGTGTGCAGCTTGGTTGCCCCTAAAGTTTTGCCTTCCCACCCCTACTTTGACTCCAGCACAACCATTTCCATCCCAAGCTGAAGCTGAGGATAAACCCTATCAGATCACACCTCAATTAATAAACTCAAAGGCCCCGTGGAGGGCGATGCAGGTGTGCTGAGGTTTGGGATTGCATTTGAATTTGCCATGGCTGAGCTTTAGGACAGAGCCTGTTTGGGAGTTGATCCCACGCTGAATTCCTCTCTGTCATGCTGACAGCTTCCAAAAATCCCCAGCCTTCAGTGGGACATAAACGTTGCAGGGTGAATATCGTGGCACTGACATAAAGGTTTTCTGCCTTCTTTCCAGGTGGCTGTTAAGCCCTGCTGTATGTGCAGGATAGTACATGTGGAAATAGTAATTGCAACCCCATTATTACTATTATTATTATTGCCATAATTTATTATTAGTGTGTTTTTTATTTTATGGGGCCCACGTGTGCGGGTAATTCACGGCGGAGCGCTTACGCCATCCCAAGGTGGGAAGGATCAGGGAGCTGCAGGAGCCTTAGATCCAGCTTAATTCCTGTTTCCAGCTTAAATCCTCCTCCCTGAGCCCCAGGCAAAGGGTTTTGGGGCAGCTCGAGGCAGCCCTGCTGTGCTGAAGAGCGCTTTGGGGTGACTCAAAGCGTTTTGGGGTGACTCAGAGCTGTTCCTTCTCTGGGTGCTCCAGACCCTCTGTGTGCGCCTGAGCCTCCTCTCCCCTCTGCTCTGCAGGGCTGGGAGTGAGTCAAACTCCTAAACTCGGCTCTGACTGTGAGATAAGGCAGATGTGGAGGCAGATAAATGTGTTGCAAAGAGGTCACTGGCTAAATAGGAGCTTCACAACAAATGGGGGTGTCTGCATCTCCCACTAACGTGGTTCCTGCCTGATAACTGGGGCTGGAGAGGGCTGACAGGGCTTGGACAGGAGAGATCCAGACCTGGATTTGGGAGAGGATTGGAGGCTCTGAATTGGTGGCTGAGTGAGGAGGATGATGGAGCACTGTGTGTGTGTCACACCGGGAGCTCATCCAAATGAGGATTTTGGGCTCTGATAGGTGGGGAAGACATTGAAATTATCCCTAAACTGGGATTCCCCATGGAGGGCTCCAGCCCAGCCCGTGGGATCCAACCACCAGCCCATGGAATCTGAGGGGAATTCAAGCAGAGGTGCTCAGCAGAATCTTCCCAATTTCCCAGTTTTCCAGAGCTCTCCAAGATGTCTGCAGGATGTTTTCACGAGCCGAGCGTTTGCCAGAAGTTCACAGATCAGTTACAAAACAGATGTACCTTTCTCTTTTTTTTTTTTTTTTTTTTTCCTCTCCCCTTCTTCCTACTGGTAAGGAAGAGTTTGTGCAGTAATTGCAGGCAGGTTGGGAGATGTTTTCTTCATAATTCTCCTTCTTATGAAATGTTTATGAAACACCTTCCACAAATCAATTACGCAAGCGGGCTCCGGAGCTTTGATCATTTTCCATCACCCTCAATGTGTTTCTTAGTTTGTTTTGCTTTTTGTTTTTGTGTTTAGGCCGGAGATAGGTAAGAAACCATCCATCCTTGCAGCTGTTCAAGCCAACTTCGGAAGGGACTCTCTCTTTTGCAGCCAGTCACCCTTCCTGTGTTTTTTGCTCGGCTTGCTCGGGGGCTGACCCTGTTTCGAGGCTGTGAAAACATCCAAACATCCACTTGAGATTTGCAAGTGTGATTCCTGCCCTGGCCCAGAGGAGCTCTCGTGCCTCCAGCTGCCGTTACCCGCTCCCAGCCCTGCCCTGGGCCTCCCCTCGGGCCACAAAGGGAGGAAGGTGCTGGAGATTCACAGCCAAGAGCCCCCACGCCTCACCCCAGCCGTGGGCATTTGCAGGTCCTGCTCTTTGCCCTGCTCGTTTTTTCCATGGGATGGTTCAGGTTGGAAGATTCATTGGCATGGGCAACGAAGCTTCCCCTAGACCGGGTTGCTTTCCTTAAGTACTGTTATTTTTTTCTGAGTAAAATTCAGTGGGAACAAAGTCTCCCCATGACTTCTCGTTCCCCTTTCCCCATCCATGATCATCCTATAAAACCAAGATCCTGAGCAATCCCAAGGGGATCTGCTCCTGCTTTTACCCAAATCACTGTGTCTCACTTCCAGAGCTCCCATCAAATACCCCCACGAGGTGATTCTCTGAGGATTTCATCCTTTCAACCTTGGTTTTTTTTTTTTTTTTTGGTCCCTCAAGGAAAACTCTTCTCATATTTGCAGGCATTTTCTGCAAATCTGAGGAGGCAGATGCACTGGGAAAGGAGGAGGCAATTCCTCCCCTTGTTTTATTAATTCGAAATTTACATTATTTTAAGGGAGTCTCATGATATTGAGTGGCCTCGCCCACAATGTGTGTGGTTTTTTGGGGTTTTTTTGGGTTTGGGGTTTTTTTTTTAATGTACACTTGGCAATATTGCCGGTTTAGCCAGGGGAAGAAACCAAAAGAGTGGGATTTGCATAAACCATCCCCAAAGTTTTGGATAGATCCCGACCTCCTAATGAACAATTAGCCAGCTGCAGAGAGGGAAGAGGAAGAGGAGGGCGAGGTAAATTCGAGCCTAAACCCAATGGAAATAGGTGCAAGGGGGAGAAGGATTTGTCAAGAACGAAGGCCAGGTTCCCGCCCACTGCGCAGGAGGGAGAATTCCAGGGCCGGGGGAAGGAGCAGTGGGAGATGTTGTTGTTGTTTTTGAGTCGGGAGCCGGTGCTCTGCCAAACCCACCTCCCGTTCTCACATCCAGCCATGCCGGGATGCGGCTACACACCCCTTTGTGCCTGGAGCGCCGCCAGCTCATCCCGCTTGGCAGCTGCAAAAATTGATTTCAGTTTGGAAATGGCTCGTGCCTCCTCAACACCCCACTGCCAGCGGGATCACAGCTCAGGCAGGATCCGCAGCCCGGCTCTCTGAGACGCCAAAAACTTCAATTCCTTGGGACTGCTCAGCCTTGGATGAAGCAGACAAACGTTGATTTTTAAATTTTTTTTTTTAACAACTTTTTTTACAAATATTTTTTTTTTTCTTATTTGCCTCCAATGGATTCTTTTTAATGCAAAGAACCACGTGCCTGCAGTGACTGGATGGCTCAGGGGTAACGGGGTGTCCTCCTGAGCCTTTTTGCCTGACGTTCAGTGACTTATCGCTGCCGATAGCGATCGAGAAGATCTTTCCACCTGATTTTTTTTTTGTTGTTTGTTTTTTGCCCTGCCAGGCTTAGAGGGATGATCATGCCAACCTGAAAGGTAGGAAAGAGCTGGAATTCATAGCATGTCTACCTCTTGCTGCAAGGAGCTGGGAGTATTGCAAAACGAGTTTCGGCGGTGTCCAGAGCTCGAGCTGTAATGAAAGGGGGTGTTGTAATCACCTTCCCTCCGAGCAGCACCTTCCAAAATGCAGAGGGGGGAACATTGCAGCTCCCTTTTCTGGAGCTGTTGAGCTTCTTGTGATCCCGTTTTCCTCCTTTTCTCCTCTCGTGGAGGTCCATCAAAGCTTGCACTCGATGGTTGTAGAGGTCTCTTCCAACCGGAATTATTCCACGTGTTTCTTCGCTTTGCTCAAACGGGCGGAAAAGCTCCTTCAAACTCCAAAATATTCACTCAGGATGGGGTTTGTGGAGCTGGATTTCTTGTCCCCCTCTGCTGGCAGGAGGTTGTAGGGCCTCAAGGCCCCATCAGTGGGGCAGAGACCCCGCTCACCTTTGGGGGATGGTTTGGAAGGGATCTGGTGGGAACACTTGGGGATGTTCACTCCTTGGAGTCAGGGTGACTCTTCAGGAGTTTCAAGCTGTGTCCTTGGTAGAGTCCTCCTGGTTTTTCCAGTTTTTGGGAATTAGAGGCTCTTCTTGCTGTGATGAGGAATAATCCTTGTTCAGTGTTGAGAAAAGGTTTGGGTCAATCTTTTCCTAGAGGAGAGTTCTGTATCGTTTACCTGTCCTCTGTGCATGGACACTCCTCACTCACCTTTCAGGAATTTACCTGAAAACTTCCAAAATCCTCCCCTCCCTCCTGTCCCTGTCAGCGCTACCAAAAGACTTTTGCTACTACAATTGGAACACATTTTTATTATTATTATTTCTTAATAAATTATTTTTTTTAATGTATTAGCAAAGTTAGAAATGAGTGAATAAACCAGAAACAAGGATTCAGTTCTGGTCCCTGGGTGCATTTTTTTCTAAGAATGTTGATTTAAAAATCATTATTTTCTTGTGGACAAGAACTTTGCAAGAACATAAAGTAGCTCAAAAAGACCACTGGACACTCGTAAAGTTTTCCAGTTATTTTTCCACAGCTTGTAACTGAGGAAGGAGATTTTCCTTGCAATTTCTTTTTGCTTTTTGGTAGAAATTGAACAAATTCATTTGGTGCCTGTAGTGCTGCATTTTCAATTCTAGGAGATTATTTTTGAGGTCTTTTCCTCCATGACCCATCATTTCCCATCCCCTTGTACCATTCTCTGTTTCATGCAGGGAAAAATGAGAGGTTTTCCATGTCCAGCTCTCCTATCGGGGCTTGAGTTGTGATCTGGAAAGGAGAATTGCTTCTTGTCTTCACTAAAACTCCACTAAAGGCTTTAAACTCTGAAAAGCTGCTTGAAATTGGTTGTTTTCCTGAATTTGTTTTAATTGAGCAAAGTGCTTGGCAGAGCAGGAAAACCATCCATGGGATAGAGTGGGGAGAAGCAGCGTGGAATAACCCTGATTTTCAGTGATGGAAACAGCACAAAAATCCCTGAGAGGAGCCTCCTCCAGCCTCGTGGATCCCAGCTGCTCCCTGCTCATCCCTGCTCCCCAATTCCATGTTTCCTTTGCTCTTTTTGCAGATTAAAACCGAGGACCTCAGCGACTCCTTGCAGTCTGCCATCCCCCCTCGGTCGGGGCACCTCGTGCAGGGATCATCCATGATGCCAGGGAGCCAAATTGCAGGGGTGAGTGACCTGGCTGCCCTGAAATCCCAGGGAAAGGGGCTGCTCCTGACCCCCCTCCCCAAATTAATGTGGCCAGAGAGGGTGAGGAGCACTGAGCTGGAAAAGTGAATCCTCATCCTCATCTTCCTCCTCCTCGGTTTTTCCTTGTGGGTTCAAAGCTGGGCTGGACACGTGCTGGGGTGAGATTTCCTCTGAGGGTTTGAAACCACCCCATGGTCAGGAAATCCCTTGGACTGGGAATAATTGGAGGCTGAGACAGCACCGTGGGGAATTTCTGATAATGTTTGCCCTGCTCTTCCTCATTCATGAGTGTCTGGTTAATGCCATTGTTGGAGATAGGGTTCTAGACCAGATTAACTCCTAATCTCAGCCTGTTGTTGCCTCAAATTGATTTACACCAGGGGAGAAATTAATTCCTCCAGGGAATTTTTTTTTCCTGAGGTAAAAAATGTGGAGTTCAGCGCTTAATTCTTGTTAAATTCTGGTGGGAGTTGGATGCCAGGTGGCCACAGAGGTGCTCAGGAATCCTTTCCCTCCTCCTTTCACGGGGTGTTCAGATCCATGGGACAATTTAGGGATTCTTTAATTCCCCCCAGTCTTCAGAACAGTCCTGTGGGATGCAGAGTTGGTGAGCTGGGACAGCCTGCTGCAATTTGCTGAGTGATTTTTAGGCAGTGGAAATGCTTTACCTGAAGAGAAAGCTCTGGAAATGCTTTGTCTGAAGAAACTGAAATCTGAGAGGTTTCATTGCTCTAACAACCAGAGTTCGATTGCCTCAAAAATGTCTTCATCAAGAGTTAACTTTTCCAGGGAAAAGCAGACACTTCTCCACATGGATGTCTCTGTCTGCACCAAATTCTTCTCCTATACTTGAAACTTTTGGACCTGCAGCCCTCCAGCCCCCAAATTCCCCAAATTAAGTGAGAATTCTTCTCCTACACCTGAAACCTTTGAATCTCCAGCTCAAAAATGTCACCAGGAGTTAACTTTTCCAGGGAAAAACAGACTATTCTCCACATGGAGGTCTCTGTATGCACAGAATCTTCTCTTACACCTGAAACTTTTGGTCCTTCACCCTTCCAGCCCCTCAAAATACAGAAATTCAGCGTGGATTTGTGAGGAGGTGCTGCATGAGGAGCACAAATCCTTGAGTTTTATTGTTCCCTTTGCTGTTTTTCTGCAGGACATGAGCTCTCTCCACACCCTGCAGCAGCTGGTGTTGCTTCCTGGGCACATGCAGTCAGTCCCCCAGTTCCTCCTGTCCCAGTCTCAGGCAGGACAACAAGGTAAGACAAAAAAAAAAAGTTGAAATTATTTCTTTTTTGGGCTTACCTAAAAACAGAGGCCAGGCAGAATTAAAATAATAAAAAGCAGTTCTGTTAATTGAAGGGCCTTCAGGTACATTTAGGGCAAACAAAACCCACCCAAAAATGGACAATGGCTCATGGGTTTTCACACTTTTATAAGTTTGGTCCATTTGCATTTTGGGGGTGAATCTGCCAATTCCAGCTTCAGCTGATGAAGTCATTGACCCCAAGTTTGCTGCCCCCAGCTCCCTTTTGTTCCCATCTCTGGGGCCTGAGGCAGTGAGGTGTCCTTGATTGCCAGGCCTGGAGAGGAATTGTTGTGTCTGCCCCAGATGGGGAAGCAGCAGCTCCCACTGTGTGTGGAGTTCAGAGTTCTACACTAAGGAACTGCAGGTTACAAACAGATGGAAAATATAATAATATACTATTATTAAATAGAATTTATTATTATTGGTACTAGTAGCATTAGTATTAAATATAATATCATCTCTTTCAAGTAGATGGAAAATAGAGAAGCTGAAATCCCAGAGAGGAATTGTTGTGTCTGCCCAAATGGGGAAGCAGCAGCTCCCACTGGGTGTGGAGTTTAGAGTTGTACACTAAAGAACTGCAGGTTACAAATAGATGGAAAACATAATTATATACTATTATTAAATATAATTTATTGTTATTGGTAGTAGTAGTAGGAATAGTAGTGGTATTAGTATTAAATATCATATCATCTCTTTCAAGTAGATGGAAAATAGAAAAGCTGAAATCCCAGAGAGGAATTGTTGTGTCTGCTCAAAATGGGGAAGCAGCAGCTCCCACTGTGTGTGGAGTTTAGAGTTGTACACTAAAGAACTGCAGGTTACAAATAGATATGAAAATATGAATCGCCAAATATAAAATATAAGGCGACAGAGATGGATAAATACTTTAAAACCTCGCTTTCTGGGGGTGTCGGGTTTTCCCCGGGTGATGCTGCCGGGGGTGATCCCAAATCCATGCCGGAGATGTTGCTGGCACCTTGCGCGCTCCTCGAGTGCCACCTTGGGGCCAGGCAGCGATCCCAGCCTGGAATTCCCGCAGAGCAGAGAAGGAGCCGCTCCCTCCCGCTCCTCATTAATTGCAGAAAGCTCATCAGGGCTCGGGCCGATGGTTTGGAGGGAGGGGAATTGCAGGGAAGGAGCAGAACAGGTCCAGCAGAGCCAGGAGCAGCTCTGGGATGAGAGGGAGAGGTTTGGATGTTTGGAAAGGTCTCCGTGCTCCCAGAATCAGCTCCAGGAAAGTGCTGAGGACTCGCCCCATGCTTGATGAACTCCCTGTAATTCTGGTTTTACCCCCAGTATTCTTACAGCATTTCTCCCACCCCCGGGGATGTTTTAGGCTTTAATTCATAACCTGGCAGATCCAAGGGGATTTGGATCCTTGGCTTGTGCTTTGATTTATCCCAGCATGGAGCTCCCTCCACATGAACTAAAATTCAGGATTATAACAATAAATCTCCGCAGCTTGAACCCTCTGGCTCACACACTCCAAAAGCAAGTGGGGAATTTATTTCTTCCTGACAAGATATAAATTCTCCTCTCTGCCAAATGACACTGAGTGATGGATAAAGATACTTGATGTATATTTACAAATAATTTTGAATTTGTTAGTTTGAAATACGGTCAGGACAATCTATTCCTTGCTGCCTTGCTTTTATTCATGAATAATAAACATCTTTTAGTGCAAAGCAGAACTTGCTGCCTTTGAGAGGCTGGAATTTATCTGTTCAGTGACTTTTTTTGGCAGCTATGTTTGCATGTCACCCCCTTCCAGTTCCAGGCGTGACCAGGGCTGGATATTCTGGCCAGGAGCTGGATTTTGTGCAGGACATTTCCATTTGCATGGCTGATTGCCAGGGTTTAATGATCCTTTTGCCACATGCATGCGCAGCCAGTGGGGAGTGAAAATGGAGAGGAAATTTGGTTCAAGTGGAGTTTTCTTCCTCCTGAAGAAAGGCAGAAAATATTCCAGAATTTTCCCTGGGGCCTTCAGGGAATGCTCTGAGTGTCTCCTGATTTTGGACTGTGGGTCCATAAATGGATTTTGTTGCCAAAAGGGCTTGGCAGGGGGATGAACCTTTCCAACAGGGATATGGATTTTAGTTTGTTTGTGTTTTGAAGCTGTCAGATAAATTCCCAGCTCTTATTCCTCACTCCCAGTAAAACCCAAACACCTGAGTCAGGGGTGGGAGAGCCTGTAAAGGTGGGGATGAACAACCACAGAGATTTTGGGAATCCTGTCAGCCTGAATATTGCTGCTGAAATCTTCATCTCAGCTGTCAGACCGGTGATTCCTGAATCCAGCCCTTCATTTCCCTCAGAGCTGGAGCTGAGGTGTTCAATCATGATTTTAAAGACTCCAAATGACAGAGCATCTGCCATGTCCCAAGGCAAAGCCATTGCAGTGATTAATTACCTGCTCTGCTAAAAATGTGCACCTCATTACCAGCCTGGATTTGAAATTTGAAGTTGTTCCAGTGTTAGGGAAAGCTTATTCCAACCCCAGCCTAAGTAAATAAATGGGATTTTGCACATCAGATCTAAATTAAATAAGAAAAGGCAGAGAGAGGGGGCAGTGATTGATTTTGGAGATTATCTGTTTGCCTTTTTATTAGCAGAAGTCCATAAATTTCTACGGATCTCCCTGTAATTGTCAGTTATAATCAATTAAATGTATTGACTGCTCTGAGCAAGGTTATAAATCCTCACTAAATTCTATAGGTTTCACTCACAATGGACTTGAAACCAACTAAATTTCTAGGGAACTACACAACCTAATCCTGTAGGACATTCCCTCTAAGAGATATAGGCTTGTACTTGGCAGTTTGTCAACGAAACAATTACACCCTCTCCATAAATCCCAGTTTTTGTTGGGTTTATGGATTTCCCTTCTTTCTTCCTTTCATCATTTCGTGTCAGCTCCGACGTTCTGAAAGAAATTCAATTTATTTGAAATACAGTAGGGTAGGAAAGAAGGGGTCAGAAGGCTTCCAAATGACATTTGAAAATGAAATGTAGAATTGAGAGCAGAGTGGGAGGGCTCATGAGATTAGCTGCAGGATCAGGGTTTTTTTAGCAAGATCAAGTGGCTGAAAGTTGGAGTCACAAGGGCTTATATTGGAAATAAGATGTCCATTTTTCTAAGAGCTACAATAATTAAGAACTGAGAGAAATCCCCAGGAAGGATGTAGAAAATTCTCAGCTGCTTGGCACCTAAAATCAAGATTAGAGGTCTCTAAAATGCCTGAGTGTGATGAGTGAACACGCAGGGATCAGCAAATGAGATATTTCACTTCTACCATTAGTGTAATGATCCCTTACAGGCTAAAAAGCCACGGGAAGAACCTTTTATTTCTCATAATCCACTCAGAGCCAGACACGTTCCTAAGGGCTGAAATTCTTGTATTTTGGGCAAGAAATAACAAATGGAGCTTCCCCCTCCGAGCTTTCCTGGGGGTGTTCACTGACCAGAAGTGTCTCTTTTTTTATCTCCTCAGCTTTGCAGCCAAACCTCCTCTCCTTCCCTCAGCAGCAGGGCAGCCTCCTCCTCTCCCAGCCCGGACCCAGCCTGGCCTCGCAGGTAAGAGCGCACCTGAGCGTGGGTAAGAACACACCTGAGTGTGTGTAAGAACTACCAAACTCCCCCTGCTGCCTCAGGGAGGGCAGATAGCCCAGGAAATGGTTTGGTTTTCTATTTTTTGTGCCTCTGAGCATCTTTTTTGGGGTGTTTTGGCCAGGCTGTGGGTCGCTCTGGCCTGCCTGGCTCCTCGGTTGAGCCCCACCTGGACGTCCCCCAGCACCTGCAAGTGGCGAAGCACCTGACCCCAGCTGGGGCTTCCGAGGAGCCCAGCGACCTGGAGGAGCTGGAAAAGTTTGCAAAGACTTTCAAACAAAGGAGGATCAAGCTGGGGTTCACACAGGTGAGAGAGGGGAGGGGATGGGGGGAATTTGGGGCAGAGCTGGGTGTCGCTATAGGGCAGGAAAGAACACAAGCGCACAGCGCTGCTCTCAAGGTGAGGGAAAAGGGAAGTTCATTTTCTGATTTTAACATTTATAGTCTTCTAAAAGCGACAGTGGATTGGGGGGTGACAGTGCCACCTGTCCAATGACACTGGACAAACCAACAGCCCATCAACTTTATCCTCCTCCATAAAAGAATGCAAATCAATGAGTTATTTACAGAAAGCGTGTGAGAAAGTTCACTACAAGAATGTCAACATCAGAAGGCTTAGAAAATCTTTAAAAAACCAGGGTGACATCTGTGGGTGAAGGAAAGGCTGGGTTAGGTAAATTTGGGTTATTTTGCAGCATTCCCTTCCAGATTCACAAAGAGAAAAACCCTTCCTAGCACCTCACCACCATAACCTTGATGTCTGCACCTTTTCCAGTATTCAGGGGTGGGGGCAGATTCCTGGGGGGAATAAATCCCCTTTCCCTGGCGGGCAGGTCATGGAAACAAGGCTGAAGCTATCCTGGAAGCAGCCTGAGGGGAAGTTTAGGCTACAAGAGGAATAAACCCTTCACTGAAAGAATGATTGGGCTCTGGACTCATCCGCCCAAGGAGGTGGTGGAGTCACTGGATGTGGCACTCAGTGCCATGGTTTATTTGATGAGGAGGTGTTGGGTCATAGGTTGGACTGGGTGATCTCAAAGGTCACAGAGTCACAGAATGACCAGGATGGATGAGACCTTCAAGTCCAACCCAGCCTCAGCACCTCAACTCAACCCTGGCACCCGGTGCCACATCCAGGCTTTGTTAAACACACCCAGGGATGGTGACTCCACCACCTCCCTGGGCAGAACATTCCAGAACTTTATCACCCCTGCTGTAAAAAACTTTTTCCTGATATCCAACCTAAATTTCCCTTGGTGCAGCTCGAGAGGTCCTCTCCAGGCTGGGTAATTCTGTGCCTCTGTGATTCTGCTGGGGCTGGGACAGCTGGGAGGGGTTTCCCTGTGCTCACTGTGGGGTTTGGGTGTCCCTGGCAGGGGGACGTTGGCCTGGCCATGGGGAAGCTCTACGGGAATGACTTCAGCCAGACCACGATCTCCCGCTTCGAGGCTCTCAACCTGAGCTTCAAGAACATGTGCAAGCTCAAACCTCTGCTGGAGAAGTGGCTCAGTGATGCAGGTGGGTGACAGCGAGGCAGAAATGCCACTGATGCCTTGGGAAGGCTGAGCTAGAACAGAGGCTGGACAGAGCTAAAGAATAAAGCAGGGGTTTTTTAAAAGGATCTCCTCAATGGATGCACCTTGGGCAGCACAAGAGCCCAGCCAGGGCTGCACCCAAGGTGAACCAAAATGGTCCCAAAATGAACCCACGATGGCCCAAAATGGTCCCAAAATGCACGAGCGCTCCCGGGGTCTCTCCCTTGGATCAGTTCTGCTCCATTTGCATCTTGCAGTTCATTGTCCCATTCCAGCTTTAGCCCCTGCAGTCCCATCCTTGTTTTTCTCTCTCCAGCCCACGGTGTTTGTGCTCTTGGGCTGAGATTTGGATCATTTGTCCTTGGTGCCCAGCTGGAGCAGGAATTGTTTTGTGTCCCTGCTCTGTGCCCAGAGCTCAGCATCCCCTGATGTGAACCCAGACCCACACACTAAAGCAGCACAGAACCTGAAAAATAGAAAAGCCAAAACCTGAAAATCTGAAAAATATAAAATCTGAAACCTTAGGCATCACCAGCAGCAGGAGAGGATCCATCCAGGAGCCCCAAACCCCTTGAGCCCCTCGCTGTGGGAGCTGGAGAAGAAGGGGAGCAGCTGGAAAGGAAGGATTTCACTGAGAGGGGAATTCCCAGGGTTTGGGGTGGTGTTCTGTGCTGACCTCACGTCAGCCTCGTGCTTCACCCAACCCTCCAGGATGTCTGAGCCATTGGTCACATCTCAGCCACCCCGAGCCAAATGCTTTGGTCACATCCTTTTCTGTGGGAAATGAAATTGTTGGAACACTCCTGGTCCCTGTCAGAGCAGGCTGGGGATCAGGCTCACAAAGGAAAAACGGTGTGTGGGTTAAAACATTTTTCTTCTTTGATTTGGGCAAGCTCGTTGATGGATTTGGAGCAATTTTAATCATCATCAGAGGGAGGATCCACAATGCAGGAACAATTAATCTATTTTAGAAGGCACCTTTAAATTAATTTAATTAATCTGTTTTAGAAGGCACCAGATACTTTCACAGGAAGTATCTGGGAATGAAAATAACTCATTATCTTCTTGGAGATCTCATTTTCCCCTCCCTCTTGCCCCAGAATCTGCTCCTTTGGATTCCTCCATGAGCACCCCCAATTCCTACCCCTCAGTGAATGAGATGTTTGGACGGAAAAGGAAGAAGAGGACCAGCATTGAGACCAACATCCGCTCCACGCTGGAGAAGAGATTCCAAGATGTGAGGGGAAAATCCTTCTCTCCCTCAGCCTGGCATTTGCAGGCCTGTGGCACTGGGTCCTCTCAAGAAAAGAGGTTTTTTGTGGGGTATTTTTTGATAGCAGGTTAGAAAATGCTTGAAGAAGCAAAAAGAAAAGTGTTAAATCCAAAGGAATTCCCTGTTATTTGAGAGTGGGTTAAAAATGCTTGAAGGAGTTAACAGGTAAAGTGTTAAACCCAAAGAAATTCCCAATTATTTCCTTGTTGAATGTTATTCTAAGGGAATTATAATTTTAGCACCACATTTCCCCAGTATCACCCACTGGGCCAAAGCTGATATATATATATATATATATATATATTTATATCTCTGCACCCAACTCTTTTCTTTGTGAGTTGCAGAAGTGTCACAGGAGCTCTGTGGCCACAGTGCCCCATTGAGCAGCTCTTCTGAGACCCCAGAACTTGTTGCTCCAAATATTTTTCCTGAACCCATTCAAAAGTTGAACCCTTCTACTTTTTAAGCTCCAAGAATTTCAAGAAAAATCACTACAGGCATCAGAGAACTTTAATCAACAGGACTAAAGTTGGAAATTTCTCAAATCAAAACTGTTCCTGAGCTTGTTTTTCCTTGGTTTCTCCCTCATATCAAAACTTGCTCAGTCAGCATCAGATCATTTTAGCAGCTCATTTCTAGGTGGTAGAAGGCAATTTCTGCAATGGGAATATTACCTTGGCAGAATATATTATCTACCTCTGTGCCAGGTAGCTTTGACATTTCTGAGCTCCAGCTCTGAGCAAACCCCACAGAGACAAAAGGAATGAAAACAAATTACTCAGAGGGCAGGGTGGGCTCTGTTATTTCCCTTTTTTAATGAGAAAAGGGAGAGGGAGGCAGTGACTTTTCTGAGCTCCTGTCCCCTGGATGGTGGCAGGGCCACCAGGTTTAGGTGAGCCCAGCTCTGGTTTTTGGTGCTGTTAAGGTCAAAGAGGGAAGAGATTTGTACCAGGGGCAGGAGCTGTGACTCATCTCCCCCCTGACTCTGGGAGGGCTGATGTGGAACCAGAGGCACTTTGTGCTTCACAGAACATAATCTCTCACCCAAATATTTACCCTCGGATTCAGACGGAGCTTTTGTCCCCTCCCAGCTCACAGCCAACCCCACCCTTGTCCTCCCAGCAGCCTCTGATGCTCTTTGGGGCTTTTTAAGCTCCTGCCTGTCTCAGCAAAGCCCGAGCCCAGAGATCCCAATTCAGAGATTTCCTTGTGCTTTTTGGGGCTTTTTAACCTCCTGCTTTTCTCAGCAGAACCTCAAGCCCAGTGGTCTCAGTTCAGAGGAGATTTCATTGTGTTCTTTGGGGCTTTTTTAACCTGCTGTCTCTCTCAGCAGAGCCCAAGCCCAGAGATCCCAGTTCAGAAATTTCCTTGTGCTTTTTGGGGCTTTTTGACTTCCTGCCTCTCCCAGCAGAACCCCAGGCCCAGTACAGAGATTTCCTTGTGTTCTTTGGGGCTTTTAAACCTTTTGCCTCTCTGAGCAGAACCCCAAGCCCAGAGGTCTCCTTCTGCTGTTTGGGGCTTTTTTAACCTGCTACCTCTCTCAACAGACCCCCAAACCCAGTTCAGAGCAGATTTATTGGGTTTCTTTGGGCTTTTTAACCTGCTGCCTCTCTCAGCAGAACCCCAAGCCCAGCTCAGAGGAGATCTCCTTGATAGCAGAGCAGCTCTCCATGGAGAAGGAAGTGGTTCGGGTCTGGTTCTGCAACCGGCGCCAGAAGGAGAAGCGGATCAGCTGCCCCATGCCATCCCCCATCAAATCACCCATCTACAACTCCAGACTGGTGAGGGGCCTGGGATGCAGCCACCTGGCTGGAATCCCACCTAGAATTTATTATTTTTATTTATATATATGTATATATATAAATATATATATATATATATATATATATATATATATATATATATATAAATATATAAAATATTTATATTTAAAATATAAATATAATATAATTTAAATTTAACATATATATTATATTTTAAAAAATAAATATATTCATTAAGTGATAATTCTGTTTATTGAAAACACTGGAAAGAAAAGTTTACTAGGAGGAATTTATTAGTTTAACTCTAGGATAATTAATTTAGTCAAATCATGATGCTATCGCTATATATATATAAAAATAAATATATATATAAATATATATATGAATATATATATAAATATATATATGAATATATATATATAAATATATATATATATGTATATATAATTTATTATATATATATAATTTATTATTATTCCATCCATTGAAAACAATCAGCTAAATTAGAACAATTCATTAAGGGATAATTCTGTTTATTGAAAACACTAGAAAGAAAAGTTTCCTAGGAGGAATTGATTAGGATAATTTAGTCAAATTATCCTAATACCATGCTAATACCATCCCAAAGCTTTTCCCCTTGAGATTGATGAAGAAAAATCTTTCCCAAGAAAGGGAGGGTGAGGGACTTGAGGTTCAGCTGCCTGAGTGGAATCTCACCCAGGACATTTTTTATTATTCCATCTATTGAAAACAATCAGCTGAATTATAACAATTAAGTGATAATTCTGTTTATTGAAAACACTGGAAAGAAATTGATTAGTTTAATTGTAGGAATTGATTCGTTTAACTGTAGGATAATTTAGTCAAATCATGATGCCATCCCAAAGCTTTTCCCCTTGAGATTGATGAAGAAAAATCTTTCCCAAATTAATGGGGGATGTGATTGCATCCTGGACTGGGAATGCCCAGGAGAGTCCCGGCTGTGGGTGGTGTGTGGGTGGTGTGTCCCTGGGGGCCAGCACGCTCCAGGGGGCTGTGAAAGGAGTGCAGGATGTGATTTCTCCCCTCTCAGTGCCTCTGTTCCTGCCCAGGTCTCTACCTCAGGCTCCTTGGGGCCCCTCTCCGTCAATCCAGTGCACAGCACCATGCCTGGGACTGGTGAGCCTTGGGGAAACCTCCCTTCCATCCTTCCTTTGCCCTTTAATCCCTGCCTCCTCCATTTCTGGGTCACATTTGCAGGGTAATCTCCATCAGAGCCTTGGCTGTGGCCAGGGAAAGAGTCCCCACACAGCTGGGAGAGAACAGCCCAGCTGTGCTGTGGGGTGGGGTAAAAACATGGAAAACACTGGGCAGAAGAACATTCCCACAGAATCCTGGGCTGGGGTGGTCAGGTTTGGGAGCCAGGCACAACTGGAGCCAAATAAAGGGTGGGTTAGAGTCAGATCTCCTTGGAGAGCTGAGATTCCCAGGTAGAGGAGCAGGGGACATTCCTGGGCAGGGAATTCACCAGGGCAGGGAATCAGAAGAACCAGATGAAAGGTGGGTTAGAGTGAGATGTCCTTGGAGAGCTGAGATTCCCAGATACAGGAGCAGGGGACATTCCTGGGGTCCCCCATGTTCCCCAGAGCAGGGAATCAGAGCCAGATAAAGGATGGGTCAGTGTCAGATCTGCTTGGAGAGCTGAGATTCCCAGATAGGGAACAGGGGACATTCCTGGGGTGCCCCACCTCGCCCAGGGCAGGGAATCAGAAGAGCCAAATAAAGGATGGGTTGGAATCAGATCTCTGTGGAAACCAGCAATTCCCAGATACAGGAGCAGGGGACATTCCTGGGCTCCCCCCATGTTCCCCAGGGCAGAGCAGGGAATCAGAGGAGCCAGATAAAGGATGGGGCAGTGTCAGATCTGCTTGGAGATCTGAGATTCCCAGACATAGGAACAGGGGACATTCCTGGGGTTCCCCAGTGCAGGGAATCAGAGCCAGATGAAAGGGTGGGTTAGAGTCAGATCTCCTTGGAAAGCAGAAATTCCCAGATATAGGAAAAGTGGACATTTCTGGGGTTCCTCACCTTGCCCAGGGCAAGGAATCAGAGGAGCCCGATCAAGGGTGGGTCACAGTCAGTTCTCCTTGGAGACCTGAGATTCCCAGATACAGGAACTGAGGACATTCCTGGGGTCCCCACCCTTCCCCAGGGCAGGAATGAGGGAGCCACGGGGTGGGAATGCTGGGGCAGGAGGGGATGCCAGGCTCACCGTGCTCTGTCCCACGCAGTGACATCCTCGTGCTCCCCAGGGAACTCCAGCAGGCCCTCGTCCCCTGGCAGTGCCCTCCATGCCAGCAGCCCCGGCACAGCCCAGAGCAACTCCAAAGCTGCCATGAACTCCTCTGGCTTCAACTCTTCAGGGTAAGGCAGAAAAACCCACAAAAAAAAAAAAACCCAAACCAACCCAGGGCATTGGGGAAAACCCTGGGATCTCCAGGAAGAACAGGAAAACCCTTAGGGATTCCAGCAGTGTGGAGTGTTCCCGTGTGAAGTTCCACGTGTCACCTCCCAGGGACAGGGTGGGATTGTTGGGGGCCAGAAGTTGGATTTGGTGATATCTGAACAAGATATTTGAATTTGAACTAGATATCTCAATTAGAAGAGAAAGCGTTGCCAAATGAGTTGGATTGTGGGCTAGACCCAACCTGTAAAATGTGGATTTGAATCCAGATTTTAAACGCTAGAAAGTGTCCCATTCCTGTCTTCATTCAAAATCTATTAATTTGTGGCTCTTAGAGGAAAAAAAAACAAAATTACTTCTTGTGAAAGCTATCAGAGTCTGACCCAAGCGGTCAGGCTTCAGAATTTGATCCAACATGTTGGAAACATAGGTTCTGTGCAAAATGCAATGCCAGGTTTAAATGTACCAAAGGTTTGAAAGGTTTTGTGTCAAAGAAAAAAGAAAAAAGGGTGGGTCCCTTCCAGTTGAGGATATCCTGGGATTCTCAGGATGTGATTTCTGCAGGATGTGCTGACCAAGGTCAGGTTGTGTGGTGGTGTTTGAGGGTCCCAGGATGAGGGAAGAGATGAGAATCTTGACTCCATGTTTCAGAAGGCTGATTTATTATTTTATGATATATATTATATTAAAAGAAACTGATCTATTAGAACTTACTAAAAGAATAGAAGGAGGGATTTCATCAGAAGGCCAGCAAGGAATAGAAAGGAATGACAATAAAATCTTGTGGCTGCTCACAGCCTCGACACAGGTGGCTGTCATTGGTCATCAAGTAAAAACAATTTCACATGCTGGGTAAACAATTCTCCAAATCACATTCCAAAGCAGCAAAACACGGAGAAGCTGAAGCTTCTCAGCTTCTCCGGAGAAAAGATCCTGGCAAAAGGATTTTTCACAAAATACGTCTGTGACAAGGTTGAGAGGGAAATGCGGATGATTTTTGCTCCGAGGTGAAACTTTTTGTTGTTCCGTGCTGCCAACAGCTCCTGGTACCGATGGAACCAGCCCACCTACCTCCACTGAGGCCTCGTGCAGCAGCGAGGGCGAGAGCAGCTCTGCCTCCAGGCCGTGCAGCAGCACCCACGGCCATGCTCGGGGCCTCCCCGTGCCTTCCCCGGCCCGCCGCGCCAGGCACCCCCAGCAGCAGCAGCGGGGCCGTGCAGGGACTCAAACTGCAGCCCAGCCCTCCCCAGCCCCACAGTGACACTGTCCCCCTGCCCCACAGTGACACTGTCCCCCTGCCCACAGCCCCCACACGGGCACTGTCCCCTTTCCCCAGCCCCACAGTGACACTGTCCCCTTGGCCAAGCCCCCACAGTGGCACTGTCCCCCTGCCCACAGCCCCACAGTGACACTGTCCCCCTGCCCACAGCCCCCACAGTGACACTGTCCCCCTGCCCCAGCCCCACAGTGACACTGTCCCCCTTCCCCAGCCCCACAGTGACACTGTCCCCGTGCCCACAGCCCCACAGTGACACTGTCCCCCTGCCCCAGCCCCACAGTGACACTGTCCCCTTGGCCCAGCCCCACAGTGACACTGTCCCCCTGCCCCACAGTGACACTGTCCCCCTGCCCCAGCCCCACAGTGACACTGTCCCCCAGCCCCACAGTGACACTGTCCCCCTGCCCACAGCCCCCACAGTGACACTGTCCCCCTGCCCACAGCCCCACAGTGACACTGTCCCCTTGGCCAAGCCCCCACAGTGACACTGTCACCCTGCCCCACAGTGACACTGTCCCCCTTCCCCAGCCCCACAGTGACACTGTCCCCCTGCCCACAGCCCCACAGTGACACTGTCCCCCTTCCCCTGCCCCACGGTGACACTGTCCCACAGCCCCACAGTGACACTGTCCCCCTGCCCACAGCCCCCACAGTGGCACTGTCCCCCTGCCCACAGCCCCACAGTGACACTGTCCCCCTGCCCCAGCCCCACAGTGACACTGTCCCCTTTCCCCAGCCCCACAGTGACACTGTCCCCTTTCCCCAGCCCCACAGTGATACTGTCCCCCTTCCCACAGCCCCCACACTGGCACTGTCCCCTTTCCCCAGCCCCACAGTGGCACTGTCCCCCTGCCCACAGCCCCACAGTGACACTGTCCCCTTGGCCAAGCCCCCACGGTGGCACTGTCCCTGCAGCTGTCCCCGCATGGCTCCTCCGCTTGCAGCTCCGCATCCTCCCGGGCAGGGCTCCTGTGCAGGACTCTCCTCTCTGTCTCTCTCTCCGTTTCTGTCTTTTCTCTGTCCCCATCCCGTCCCAGAGGTCCCCAAAAAGGAAGGAGGGTCCCTCCTGCTGTTCCTGTCACGCACAGCCCCCAAACTGAGCCGAGGTTTGAGTTCATTTCACCGCAGCCCCGTGGCTGGGTGGGAGCCTTGGTTTGCCCCAGGCTCCCCATCCACTTGCTTTGCTCCTGCTCCCTTTCTAAAGGTGCTTTTTTGTTTTATTTCTTCCTTTTTTTTTTAATTAAGTATTTTAGAGCCTTCTTATTTTTTCCTTTAAAAAAAAAAAACAAACAAACAACCAAAAAAAAAATTGTCTTTTGCAAAACTTGTGTCCAGGCCTTGTTATTGCTGGAAACCTTGGGGGAAATTTGTGATTTGTGTTGATTTACACAAATGAATGGGATGAAAATGAGTCTTGACCTTCTCTTTTTTATTTATTTTCCTCTTTTTTGGGGTTTTATCTGATACTAAATAATAACAAGCTATTAGTGAGGTGCCCTCTGGTCTTTAAGCTGGAAGGAATTTATTTTCTGTTCTCTGTTTTTATGTTCACATAGTATTGCTTGAGTTTGGTGTGTGCAAGTGCTTGGGAATTCCATAAGATTCCAAAGGAAAAGTCAATTTTCACAGCCCATCCCCATGAAAGTTATGGTTACAATCCCACTCTTATTTTTCCTGTATTTTTAGTTAATTTTGACTGATATGGATATTTAAGATTAGCAGATAAGGACAAATTTAAACACTGCTCTGAACCTTTGGGCCACTCTGTCTTATTTTACTTCCTGCATGACCTTGGAGAAAGGACTTGATCCCTGATAGGCAATGGTGATGAAAACCCAATTTCCTTTTCCTAGTGCTCAATTTGTGCCAAACAGCAGAATTTGGGGCATGATGAACATCACAGCTGATTCTCCTGCCACCCATCACCGAGGACATTTATTAACCCAGACCTCAGCACAGCTGTAGTTTCCAGCTTGTTTCTACTGTGAAAATCTCAAATTATTTCATAGATTATCAGCAATTCTTTCAGCAGTGAGCACTGATTGTCTTCACAACCTTGGCCTGCATGTTTTACCCGGAATTCCTGAGTTAACTCCTGGCAGCTGAGCTGTAATTTGTATTTTGCCTTCAGAGTCAAGTGACCTGGTCCAGGCTTGCAGAGGTTTGTGAGCCCCTTGATCAAAAGAGATTAAAAATAAAGTTAAATCAGCAATTTCCAATAATCTATTTATAATTTACTGGACATCCACATGCTCTTAGAGCCTTGACAAGATACATTACAGTCCAAATTTGGCTTCTGTTCCAAGCCATTGCACTTAGTTCTCAGGAATTCCTCCAAGTCATTTGCTCCCACCTGCATGAATTTTGGAATAATGTTCAAAAAAAAAAAAAAAAAAAAACAAAAACTGGGAGGAAAACCACCCATGTGTTAAAAGCTGAATAACAGCACCTGCACGTGAATATTTCCGCTGAGATCAAGGCCAAGCTGTGCCAGGCGTTGAGCAAAAACATCCTGAGGGTTCATCTCCTCCCCAAAGTTTACAAACACAACGACAGATCCCTGGGATTTATTGATAAACTGGCCCCGAGTGGGAAAACAAACAGCAGCAGTTTGTTTGCTCCACAGAAAGCTCCAGCTGGAAGGGAAGGAGCCTCGTTCCCCTGGCAGCCAGGAACGCTTCCAGCCTCGCAGGGGAGCATCTGAGGGATTCCAGATCAGCAGAGCAGGAAATTCCAGCTTTCCAGGAGCAGGAGTCACCTCCCACGGCCACAGGGAACAATGCAGGGAGCAATTGCTCCCTCTGGGAACTCGGTGACCTCCTGAGCTGGGCCTGGAGCATCTGCCCCTCTCCAAGGAGAGCAGCTGTGCCTGGGCTGCCTCATAAACTGACATTTAGCACTCCCCAACTTCAAGCAAGGCTGGGGAGAACTGGAAAATTAACAAATTTTTGTTGGTATTTAATTTTTTTTATTGTTTATTTATTTCTTTCTTTCCTCCTCTGACTTCCACCTGTGAGGAGAGGGAGTGCAAGCTGGGGAATATTCCCCAGGGAATGTGCTTGGAGCATCCCCGTGCTCCCTGTGCCTGCCCCTCTCCAAGGAGAGCTGCTGTGCCTGGGCTACCTCATAAATTAACATTTAGCACTTCCCAACTTCAAGCAAGGCTGGGGAGAACTGGAAAATTAACAATTTTTTTGTTGGTATTTAATTTTTTTTATTGTTTATTTATTTATTTCTTTCCTCCTCCGATTTCCACCTGTGAGGAGAGGGAGTGCAAGCTGTGGGGAGATTCCTTGTCATTCCCAGGTCTCCTTGTGGCCTGAAGGGAGATTTTGAGCATTTCTCAGCACTCAAATGATGTCACCAAGTTCCCTCATCGTTCCTGATGCTCACAGCCTCGGGATTTCCAGCTCTGGTAGAATTGGAATGGATCCTAACAGCCCAATAAAACATTTGAGCTTAAATTCAGGCTCAGCTTTACAGATGCTCAAACTGCAGTGGGATCCCCTTTCTCTGTGCTGGGGATCCTGCTTCAAAATGCTAGAAAAGGAGACAAAAATCAGCAAGTTTAGCTCAAATATAAGAACAACCTGTAATCTATGATCCATTTAAAAGGATATTTGAGTATGTAACTCACAGGAGCATCCTGTGCAGCAGACATGGCAGATCTCACTGGGAAGGGGGAGAAATGCTTCAAAATGCTAGAAAAGGAGACAAAAATCAGCAAGTTTTAGCTCAACTATAAGAGCAACCTATAATCTACAATATAATTAAAAGGATATTTGAGTGTGTAACTCACAGGAGCATCCTGTGGAGTGCAGCACACATGGGAGGCAGATCTCACTGGGAAGGGCTCTTGTGCTCTCAGTGGTTTCACTCCCAGTGCAGAGCTCTGGCTGCAGGGGAAATTTGGGTTCTTTTGGGGAATACACAGTGTGAGATTTCAAAGCAAACTGAGTCAGGGATGACACAGTGCTGACACCGAGCTGGCTGGCAGGGCCTGGGAGAAGCACAGCCCTGTCCTGGTTACTCACTGCCAGCCATGAACTTGGCCCCAGCTCAGCTCCTGGCTCACTCATCCTGTTCTGCACGTTCTGTGTCACATCTCCCTGAGCACCGAGTGTCCGGCACCACTCCCAGCCCGCCCCGAACCCTCTGAGTCCCTCCTCATCCTCCCCTCCCTGCGATCCGCACAAAGGCGCTCTCTGGGAGAGAGAGACTGGAAGAAGACTCCAGGACACTCGGCAAAACAATAGAAACAAGAAATAAAAGGAAGAAAAGAAGATAAAGAGCACCAGCACCTCCCATCCAGCCTGATCCAGATTTTATTCTCCGTCACCTCTGAGTCCCTCCTCATCCTCCCCTCCCTGCAATCCGCACAAAGGTGCTCCCTGCACTCCCATCTGACAGAAAGATTGGAAGAAGACTCCAGGACACTCGGCAAAACAATAGGAAAAAAAAAAAAAAAGAAAAGGAAGAAAATAAGATAAAGAGCACCAGCACCTCCCATCCAGCCTGACCCAGCTTTATTCTCCATCACCAGAGAGGAAAACGCCCAACCAAAATAAAGTCTGGGCGCTCTCCGGGACGGCTCCAGCCGGGCGAGCCGAGGCTGGGCGGAGGTACCGAGCGTCTGCTCCCGCTTCCCCCGCCCCGTTCCCCTTCCCTGCCCGCCCTGCCCGGCCCCGCTCCTGCCCCGGGGCTCGCGGCTCCGCTCCGAGCATCCCTGTCCGCCCCCGGGGCAGGCACAGCGGGGATGCGGCGGAGCATCCTCGGGGGATGCGGAGGGGCCGGGCCGGGC